CATACTTGACTCCCTCCCATTCATTTTTTGAATGGGTAGATTGATTGCATTTAAACAATAACCTCAATTTAACTTCAGTATCCCCATGAGGTTGGTGTAGGGGATTATCCGTTTTCATTTCTAGCTAAGAAAATAACGGAGGGGGCTGCATAACCAACCCATAGCAGAGCTCGAACCAGAGCCCAGGCCTGGTGACTTTCTCCCAGGCACCTCTTATTACTTCTCAGGCAGGAGTGAGTCTATGCTTGTTTGCCCAAAGGCCAATGGTATTACGAGAAAGAAAGAGAATAAGAAAGAAATGGAAGAGGGGAAATAATGGGGAACAGAATAATGGCAAGAAGCAGAAGAGGGAAGATAAGGCACATTAGTATGTCATTAAAGCTGATGTTTGTGGTCGGGAATGCATGCATGTGTCACGATCCACTACTTGTCTTATAAATCTTCCAGATTTATCATATCGACAATGTAGAACAGCTTCGCAGCAACTGGGCTTCTTGTGTGAGGACCTCACTACTTGCTTGCCACCCTCCCTGCTTTGTAATGGCAAGCTGGACTGCAGGCATGGAGAAGATGAATTTGCTTCCTACTGTGGTGAGGTGGACAAATAGTCAAAATTGAAAAATAATCACCAGTAACTACCAATTACAATTCAGAATTATAATTAAAACATTATCATTCCTGAATGTTTTCCATTAGAAATAATGCCTTTGTCTAATACAGGCCAAATGCCCAACAGTCTCCCACAAAACTTGGTATTCAAGTGTCCCAACCAGAAGACTTGGACATACATGGACAAGGTGTGTGACACAAGGAATGACTGTGGCGACTGCTCAGATGAATCAGGTAAAAATGAAAGTACGTAATTAATTTTTTAACAGCTTTTTGGAGTTGCTACTCTTACACTTCAATTACATAAATTAACTAATACTTATAAACCTCCCTTAGGGATATTACATCCACGATTAAGCAATTCTATCATTTCTTGTATTTTGTGCATATTTAAAGTAGATGAAATCTCTAGCTAAGAGGTAAAAAGGTCAGGTTTCCAAGGATTAAGAAAGGAAATAATCTTGACAGCTCTTGTTGGCTATCAAATTCCTTTTGGATTTCTTTAAAAATTTTGGTGAAGATCAAAGGAAAGTCTGTTGAATGCCTTTGTTCTCAAAAAAATTTTTGTTTAAACTTTGGCATTTCCTTGCTCTTTCTCCCTCAGTTTCCTCCTTGCCACTACCCCACCCTCCCGCCATGTTCCCTATGGTGGTTTAAACTTGAGCATCACCTCTGATTACCCTACAATCTGGTAAGGCTGGATTATTCTAAAACCATGGCAGTAGATACAATTCCAATACCTCATGGCCCCAATCAGTATGTAAAAGACTTATCAGAAATACACCAAATAAATAACTTCCTTCCATTTGTCTTGTTTCCATGGAGGGCAAAAATATAAATGCTTCCTAGGAGTTACAGATAACAATGCTTTGACAACTAAAGGCTACATATATAAAGAGGTCTTTTTCTTCTTGCTAGCCATCAACTAGCAAATACTGATTCTTTCCCCTTATTGAACATACAAACTCATATGGAACCTTCCTTGTTTGTGCATCAGTATGTTTTATTTTTAGGCTGATGGGGAGAGGCAGTACTTATCTTGGCTTTTCAAAGTACAAATTCTTTCACCCAAACATGTAGAATCTTTAATAAACATCTGCAATTTTCCTGCTGGGCAGTTTTCATTAATATTTTTAAGATCCAAGGAGCTATTTCTTTTCCAATAGCATCTTTTCTGGTCCATCTTGACATTTTAACAGTCATGGTTTTAAAAATAAATAAAATTGTCTAGTTTTACAGTGCCCAAAGTGCTCGGGCTGGAGATGTGATACTGTTTTCTTTGCCGACTGTGCCTGCATTCCCAGAACTCGCTGCAAAAATGGCATTCAAGACTGTGCTGATTGGAGCGATGAAAACTTATGTGAATAGAAGACTTTTTAAATCATTGTTTCAGAAAAGCTGAAACATATTGTTGGCTGCCTTAACAATTCTCTCAAAAAAGTAACATATGTATGTGTGTGTATCTTACTCAGGTGGCAAAAGGAGAGAAGAGCTACTAACAAACATGAGTAGCGTTAATGGAGAAATTAGTAAAAACTTTAGTTACCTTCAGCTCATTTCTGAATGTTTCCAAATTTTATTAATAGAATGTAGCTTTCTGCCCAGTGCACACATGGTTATTATGGGGATGACATAAGTATACTCTAGCTCAATTATTTCAACAAATAAAGGATATTAATCCTAAGAGCCTTCAGATCAAAATGTCTATCTCTTCATTAGTGTAGCCTTGGTACAGATCCAGCTGAAACTAGTTTGGTCCAGAGCTAGTCTTAAAAGTACTGAACAACAGCCACAAGAATCAGATCAGAATCTTCTGCTCCTCTAGTCTGCCAGGGCCTAAAATTCTTTCCAGTATGTAGTGAGCTCGAAAGAGCAGACCTGGGCTTGAATCATCATCCTTCCACTTAAGGGGCTGTGTGACCCGAGACAAGTAATTTCACCCTTGAAGATGATTTTCTTTTTTTTTTTTTTTTTGAGACAGAGTCTCACTCCATTGCCCGGAGTAGAGTGCCATGACGTCAGCCTAGCTCACAGCAACCTCAAATTCCTGGGCTCAAGAAATCTTACTGCCTCAACCTCCCGAGTAGCTGGGACTACAGACATCCGCCACCATGCCCAGCTAATTTTTTTTTTTTTATATATAGATTTTTCAGTTGTCCAAATAATTTCTATTTTTTTTAGTAGAGATGGGGTCTCGCTCTTGCTCAGGCTGGTCTCGAACTCCTGACCTTGAGCGATCCACCCGCCTTGGCCTCCCAGAGTGCTAGGATTAAAGGCGTGAGCCACCGCGCCCAGCCTGAAGATGATTTTCTTGTCTGTACACTAAGGCTCTTTTGGGGAGTTTTAAGAAAGTAAGAAGACATAAAACAAGTGGTAACATGCTTTTAAGATATAATAGCAGCTATAGGGATTGAAGACAAAGAAAATTGCAAGGATATGGTAGATTGTATTATTGTTCAAAAATATCTGCTCCCCCACTCTGAGGGAGGACTATGCTTTCCCAATCCCACGGGTGTCAGTCTTGACTATGTATGTAACTTGCTCTGGCTGATGAACTTTGATCATTAATAATGTGCATCACTTCCCAGCATAAATTTGAAGAGCCAGTTGGTTGTCTGCCATCTTTTCCCTGCCATGAGACTGGCAATCTTCCAATTAGAGGCTGCTACTGGAGTAAAGTGGAGCTCAGCCACAGGCCAGACACCAAGTATGACAAACCTTTGTAGCAACTAAAATTTTTGGTCATTTGTAAATGTAGCATAACCCTATCTTGATACTGAAGAGATTACAAAAACCTTTCCTGTTAATCCATAACCACCAAGGCAAACAATGGAAATGAGTAACAATTTTTAGAGATTGTTGGGGAAAGGTGGCTGAGTACAGTTGTAATGGGCTTAACCTTAGCCAGCATCTGTACAATAAGAAAGTTGCACTGGGACATGCCTGAATGGAAATCTACTGCTCTTCTTCTCTATTTAGCCTCTTTCCTGTAGATCTAGGTCAAAGAATTGGAAAGATATTCAAATAGTGGCATTCTCCACAAACTGGTTAGCCTGTCACAGTCGCAATAGCCATTGGGATGAAAAGGCTTCTAATCATGCTTCTCAAAGCACAGCCAGTGGACCTGCAACACCAGCACCACCTGGAAGCTCACAAGTAACCCGTATCCTCAGCTCCACTCCACTGCCCTCCAGCTCAGCCATTCCACTTGCTTCCGTCAGGGTCAGTCATATGTAAGAAGTGACATTTGTAACAGCCTAAGAGATAGCAAATGACGCACCCTATTCTCTGCTAGGAAGTTGGGAGTGTCCCAGATGGGGGTTGCCCATCACTGTGGGACCTGCAGTGAATACGCAGTACAGCCCTCCCCCAACCTGACCCCCAACAGTCTGGGAATGTGCACTTGGTTTTGTAGTTGTTAACCACAGAGACTCCAGGATCTTTGTTACTGTAGCAGCGTACTGCAATAGGACTGATATTTTCTTTCCTTTGAATAATACAATGTTAACATGTGCAAATACTGTTTGCACAGCACTTCATTTTGGTACAGTTAACTAGTGACTTTTAGATACAGTTGTGTACTACTTTAAAAAGGTACTTGGCAAACTGCTATGAAAATGTAAAATGAATTCTTGTTGCAAATAGAAAACAATTTTCTTCCTCTATGGCCTTGGTACAGATTATACAATTATTTTAACAGCAATTTGTAAACTTTCTAAAAGTAACCCTATAGCAAGGGAGTTTTCTGGGGTGACAGAATTGTTTAGTAACCTAGTTATGGTGGCAGTTACATGTTACACGTTAAAATTCTTACAACTGTATAAATACACTCAGTTTTACTGTATGTTAACAAAAAAAGGTAACCCTATTTGTGTTAACATTTAAGAAAAAGACAAAGTGACCCAGGAACCATTCCCACTACAACAGCATTTTTTTTCAAGACACCTTATAGAATATCCTATAAGAAAGGATCTGGAGATTAACCACTTTCACTTTTTTGAAGTTCTAAACCTCAGGTTACATCTATGAAATGGAGCTATTAGTCCTTACCTCATAAATTGAGGAATAAACGAGATAAAACTGTGGTAATACAAACGAGGCACTTAACATATGCTTACAATATAGACAATAAGAAGAGAAAATGCCCCTGTTCAGCCACTAATGAATACTCTATTCTCATAATGTATTTACACCCACTGCGAAACCATGGAAGCCCTGAGGATTCCTGAAGGAAAGTTGTCAAACATGAGAAGTTTATAGCACCTATGTTACATTATATTGTGATTTTAAATTTTTAATCAAATTTCAAAGGTTACATGTCATGATTAGCTTTCTAGAAACAACTTTGTCTACTGTGTACAGGTGTCAATGAAATAAAAAATAAAACTGTATACTACGCAAAGAACTTTATTAACCTTTGTTTCAAACTTTATTCCCAGGCTTCTTCAGCTTAATTAGCTGCAAAGAATGAATTGTGTATAAGCAAAAACTGAAAAGAGCTGCAGTGTCCAAGGGGCTTAGGCTTAAAAATATTAGAGATCTAGATTTTATCAGATCCATAAACAAAACAATTTTAAAAAGCAGTCATAATATAAAATAGCAGCTCCCAATAACTTCTTCAAGTTTCATCTTCTTCAGAAGTTGACTCAATTCAGTTTGCCTCATTCTTGGAAGCCTCATCAAAATTCTCCACAAGATCTAGGAAAAAAAAAAGGTAGAAATTCTAAAAAAGAAGCCAAATCTACAAGTAATTAACAGATCTTAAAAAGAGATGAAGGAAGAACAATCATTTACCAATGATAAAAACACTGTTGAGACTCTGTCTCAAAAAAAACACTGTGCCTAAAGAATGAAAACACACACACCCACACACCCACACCATTCCCCCTGGGCAAAAGAGTGAGACTCTGTCTCAAAAAAAAACACTGTGCCTAAAGAATGAAAACACACACACACACACACACACACACACACACACACACACAAACACACACCATTCCCCTCAGACTACAATTAAACAACATATTATGCTGGTCAATATGGCAGAGCAGAACCAAAGAATACCATGACACACAATGCTGACATTTTCCTGGGTTCCTAAGGATACCTGCCTAAGCAAAGTGGAAATGTTTGAGTCTACTGATACTCCTACCCAACAAATATTTGTCTTACAACAAAGTACATTATTCAATAATGGAGGGATAAGCGAAAAATGTCTCATGATTGCCCAAGGAGTTATTCTGCTACAGATTTTAGAATGGTTATATCCCAAGATACTTGAACAACTTCTCCACACCTTCTCTTAAATTCATGAATTTCAAAATAGGAAACAAGGGTCATTAGTGACCCGCAGGTAGTTGTATTTAGGCTGCAATATACATACTTAACTTATTCAATATATATCATTTAAGGTTAGATACCTACATATCCTTAGGATCCCAAACAGACACAAGCCAAGTCTATAAATATAACTTCCAGTTAAATAACACTGTATCACTTTTCTAAGTGTGGTCCATGCCCCCCTTTAACTTACACCCAAACCCCTCTCCCACACCTCCCCAGTAGTTTTTCCTGTAAGGATTCTTTATTCTCCCTTTCTAAGATTCTTTAGGCTAACCACAAGTTAAGGTTCCTACCTGGAACTTCATCATCATCATCCTCTCCAGTAGCAAGTGGTGCTTTTCCATCCACAGCTATGAAAGGGAAATATAAATGTCACTCACATATTTGTCTAAGTTTTCAATAAACATCAGACAAAAGAAGAACAGATGAAATGCTAAGTATTGTTACAACTTATATTCATTATGACAAGTGACATTTGGGATTTTATCTATAATACTATCAAATAACATGATATTCTGTTGTCTACGAATGGGTTAAAATACTAGGAACAGCCAACAAACCAAATTCCATTCCCATCCTTTCAATTCCTCTAGCCCACTGTAGATAGGCCCCAGGGTAGTGAATCTAAGAGCAGCAGGGAGCCCTTTGGGTGCAGGTAAAACCTACACACTAAATTATGGTAAGACTTATTTGGGGAGACAAACGAAGAGGCCATTTTCTCAACTACTCTTTTGTTTGTACGTGGCATAAGGGAGATACTCAACATTTACTGAAATGAAAATGATAAAAGAATTAAAGCGAGTGGTAAGCATCTACTTTCCTTTATTACATTAGAATGTGAACTATACATAAGAATACGTACTAGCCTCATACAGGTATCAGTGGGATACTTCAAAAGCCTACTTCAGCTCTGAAAGCCTAAGACAGTCTAAAACCTGCCTGGTATACATCAACATGAAATAAAAATATAAATTGAGGCAGAGTGAGTCAATACCTAGAAAAACCTGATTATAAATAATAAGCCATATAACAAAGTCTCTGATATGCTCCTGTATTCCCATTCTTCAAAATTTTAAGCAATGGACCTCAGCATGCGTTACCATGCCCCCAGATGTACACCTATTCAACTCTGCTGTTTTCTGCCCTGAGCAAAATCCCTATCCTACTGTAATTAAAAACACCAGAATACTGACAGGCCATTTCTTAAAAATTATTGGTGATACTGATTGTATAAATACAACTAAAGAACTTTGGTAATTTATACTAATGTATCTTTTAATCAATTCTAAACAATAAGTAGTTATCAGTCAGCAAAGTCCAAAATTAACATTTTAATCATTTCTAGCTAATAAAGTAAAAAATTTTCAAGTCTCTGACCGAAAGTAGAAAAACAAATTCCACTAAACCAACTATAAGGATCACAGCAAACTAGGTAAATTATTGTAAACATCAAGAACATTTGCTTAAAATCAGTTAAAAATTTGTTATTTTTAAAATACATTTTAAAATCTGTATTTCCAAATTTAAAGATATTCATATCCACTGTGAGCCCTGTGACTACAGAAATCTGCTGCTAAACGAGTAACCCC